AATTACTTAAAAAATTCCTCTCTTTTCTCCACTATTACCAACCCAAACGCAATTAGAGTTCAAACTCTAGGTTTTCCATTCACCCTACCTTTTTTAGAGTGATTTGGAATATCCATATTTAAATTGCCATATTTTGAGAATAAAATTAATATGTGCAGATCCATTGATTTGATGGAACAATTATTTTGGTTCAAGATGGCGTCCCAATGACCCAATTATTTTGGTCCCATAATCAAGGTCTTCAATCTTCACTAAATTCCGATGAAGTTGTCCGTGGATGGGCCTATTAGGATATAGGACAGTTCACACGCAATGGGCTTTTTTGTTCAAATGAATTGGCCCTGATATAAAAGACAAACGGCCTGTTACGTCGACGGTTGACGGTTGACCCAATGAAAAAGAAGTAGGAACTGGGGAATTTAGAGCCCGTTTGGCAGGAACTTTTTTATTTTTAATAATTTTGATATGGGGTCCAAATTAGAGGCTTAGACCCTTGGAATGTCAAATAATTAATTTGAAATATAAAAAAAAATGTTTTTTTTTCTCTTAAATTAAAAGTTTACTTAAGGAAAATATTAGTACTTTTTAGTATTTAACATGCCTTATAACTAAATTTTAAGGAAGTTTATAACTTTTTAAAAACTTATAAACAATTTAAATGTTAAAAAACAATATTTTTCTCTAACAAAATTTGGATACTTAAGATAAAAAATATTTCCATAAAAAAAATAAACAATATACTTATAAGCAATATATAAAGCAAAAACAGTTTTGTGAGACTGCCTCATAATCTACAAGGCCAAAAATTGTTTATATCCTATGCTAGTAAGCCTAGTATATTTTATCCTCAAACTAATTTATATGCACCTCAAAATTAATTATTGTCTTCTTGAATGATCTTACAAAGGTTAGTTAAGCAATAAGCAAGCCAAGATGGATATATAGCTTTGGTATTGGCTTATTCTCTCGGAGAAAGAGAATAAAAAGGGTTGGGACTGTCTATGTTTACATGTAGTATATTCAATGCAGTCATGGAGACATATTTGTGAAAACCAAGTGAGCTCGTGAACAAGGGAACTCCATCCCATGCAAATATACCCTAGGTTGTCAAAACAATTATAAACAACACTTTCCAAAAAACCAACTCAATTACTTTCTCAATTCTCCCAAATTCTTATTCTCTAAACAATAATTTTCGTATTAACAAAATACCCAAACTTAGAAATCCCACACACCTGGCAGAATAAGTTCCATTCCCTCACACAATTCTATATTAAAATTGGAACAAGGAAACAGATATTTGATCCCCATGTGCACTTCTGCCACTGCCTATCCAACTCACAAACCCTAATGAAGACAAACCCCAACCAATCCACCCTTAAACCCCCTCTTACATGGAGGTAGAACTTCGAAAATGCTAAAGCAAACAATCTCACTTTCCCTTTGTTGAACTGCTAGCTCTAGAATTTCTCAGCATCTCTCTTTCTCTATCACATGTACCACCATAGAAAAACAATCATTAAGACAATCTTCAGCTCCTTTTTATGGAATTTTTTTGGTTGGTACGACATAAATTTATCGGTATGTGAGACTACCTTTCATGCAAATTTATTGAAGCCTACAGCATGTTCCATCAAATTTCAATTTGAAGAATCATGGAGCATTCAATTAATTAGTATATGCATCACCTATATAAGGTTAGCTAGGGTTTGAATCATGAAGTGCATATTAATTCTATACGGTATATATATACTTTATTTTAATGGAGGAAGAAACAAAAACATGCGTAGATAACGCCTTGAAGTCTGATGCGATAATATTGGCTCTAGGATTAAATAAAGAGAGTTTTGTAATACGATTTGTAATACTTAAATACATTGATTCCCGGAGTTGGTGGCAGTTTTTTGGAGGGATTATGAAGGAAGAGAGGAGAGAAAGTAGGGAGAAATAGTGAATGCAGAGAACTGAAGCAAATTGGACTTATGTGAACTGGAATAGTGAAACAGATCTCTAATGATGTGCGGATAACAAAAAAACAAGAAGAAAGGGAATCTATGTCGTGGTGCACCTAAGAGAATGGTTTCCTAGGTAAGTTGTGAGGGTTTATAATCTTAGGATTGCGTAAGATTTAAAGTTTTTATATTTTTTATTTTTTTAAGTGAGATTGGATACGGACATTTGTAGTGGTATAATTAGGATTTGAGATGAGAGGGGGTTAAATTTATTAACACTTAAATTAAATATGCGGATAAAATATTATTTTCTTTTATCTATTTTAGTTGTGTTAAAATTGGGTAATTAAAAAGGAACAAATTAAAATTGGGTAACTAAAAAGGAACAAAAAAGAGTAACACAAGATTATAAAGTTGTAAACTTGTCTAAATCAAACTTGGCCATGTTCAATGTGAAATATATTGTTATTTGAAAATTTTGTTGATTACTGAATAATTATCTAAGTGTATTTTTAAAAAATATATAATAAAACACATCTAAAATTAATGTAATAAATTTAGAAACACATCAAAATTTGTATAGCAAATGATAAAATAAAATAAAATAAAAAGATTTGACTTAATAAAAAAATTTGAATTAGAGGTGAAGTTTTAATATTTACTTTAAAAAAATAAGTATTAGTAACTAAAATGAATATTTCAGACTAATTTTAAACACTAAAAAAGTGATGATTTAAGGTTTTTTCAAAAAAGATATAGAAGTGTTAAAATTTTAAAGATTTTTTAATGAATTTTTTAACCAAAAATTAATATTAGAGACTAAAAAGTCATTTTTATACTTAATGATCTTACTGTAGAAA